TTGGGAAATACTTGTGTGAACCCTTTCTTTGGAGTGATCTTGTGAGGTTATTCTCTTGGGGTATTTGGTAATTAGAGTATTTACTCTAATTTTGTACTCTTGTTGGTATAGTGAAATTGTTTCTCTCCGCTTGTGGACATAGGTAACCTTGATCGAACCACGTTAAATTTGTGTCTTCTTTATCTTCTTTAATTGCCGTTATTATCAACTTGCATTGTCTTTGTTATTATCATTATAACGTTGTTTGACTAAATTACGCACTACCCGGTTTCCCAATCCTAACAGTTTTGAATGTCTAACTTAATGTAAAGAAAGCTTATTAGGTCAAAACTAGGAGAATGCTTACTAATAGCAAAAGATTAACATCTCTCTGCCCTCGTCAGTCAGCTAGAGAGTATAAAGTATAAAAACAACATTGAATAACATTACCCGTTTTTCATTTTTTGGGGGGTGTGGTCAAAAGTAAAGGGTTACTTAAGTTAAGCACGGATTTGATCGCTTTTAATATATAAAGCTAGACAAATTGATACTTTAGGGTACATTGAGGGATCAGCTTCATCAATGACACCATCAGAAATACAAACAAAAGAAGGTAAAAATAAGAGAGTTGAAGAAGCAACGATTACTCTTAAGTGTAAATACGTTTTAACATACTTTCTGACGTACAATATGTTAATTGGCATTTTAATTGTGTAAGCACAAATTGCAAAGGAACTTGCTGAGAGCAGGTCTTACAACTCTTTTTAAGTAACACACTCTTCTCCTAGCAATCTACATCTGGAAATAAAACTAAGTACGCCGCTTCATCAGAATCACCACTCTCACGGAAACGTGGATTCTTCTCCTGCAGCAAAAGAAAACGTCATATTGCAACAACAAATATCACTAAAACCGAAGAGGGGACAAACAACAGAGAAAAAAGATTTGAAGCTCACCCTCTTATTCGTTATATCACAAGCTAAAATCAGGGAGTTTGAGCTTTTGAAGATGAAGGACTCAGATCGTGTGAAAGAATACTCTTCCAAGCTAATGGAGATTGTGAACCAGATAAGAATACTTGGTGAAAACTTTCCAGATCAGAAAGTTGTAGAGAAGATCTTGGTCAGCCTTCCGGACAAGTTTGAATCAAAAATCTCAGCTATTGAAGAGTCTTGTGACCTGACTACTCTTACAGTAGCTGAACTGATCTCTAAATTGCATGCCCAAGAGCAAAGAGTGACTATGAGAAGTGAAGGGATTGTTGAAGATGCCTTTCAAGTAAGGCATAAATTCAAGCAACGGAAGGAAGGCAAAAAAGTTTTCTTCGATAATTCTGGAGAGGTAAAATCTGGTGAAAACCAAGGTGATTCGTCAAGAAAAGGAAAATTTCCACCTTGTGGTATTTGTAAGAAGACAAACCACTTGGAGAAGAATTGTTGGCAAAAGTCAAAGAGGCCTCCAATTCAATGTAGATATTGCAAGAAGTATGGGCATATTGAGAGGAATTGCAGGCAAAAGCAAAATCAAAGTGGTCAGTCTTCCCAACGAGTAAATTTCGCAGATGATTACCAAGTTGGAAAATCAGAGGAGGAGGTTTTCATGGCGTCGCACACATCACATGTTGACGGATGTAATTGGTATGTTGATAGTGCCTGCACAAGGCACATGGCGATTGATGAAAATCTATTTGTCACCTTGGATAGATCTGATAGAACTAAAGTGAAGCTTGGAAATGGTGCATTGGTGCAAGCTCAAGGTAGAGGGTCAGTAAAATTTCCTTGTGACGAAGGTATGAAGCTCATCCATGATGTTCTTTATGTGCCAAACTTGACTCAAAATTTGTTGAGTGTTGCTCAGTTGCTTCATAAAAATTATTCTCTTAATTTCAAGGATAAAAAATGTGTCATTTATGATCCTAAAGGATGTGAAGTAGCTAAAATTAGCATGATTGACAATTCTTTTCGAATTTGATGCTATTCTGTTGATCATTGCTCTTTTAATGTTTAATTCAATGATACCTGGCTTTGGCACAAAAGGTTTGGTCATTACAACCTTAGTTCATTGGTGTATATGCAATCAAAGGCTATGGTGCTTGATGTACCCAAAATTGATATGTGCAGAGATGTTTGTGACTCATGTCAATTTGGTAAAATGCATAGACGATCCTTTCCTAAAGGAAGTCTTTGGAGGGCTAAGGAAAAGCTAGAGTTGGTTCTTACAGATTTATGTGGACCAATGAGGACGGCCTCTTTGCGTGGAAACAAATACTTTATTCTCTTTGTGGATGATCTAACTAGAATGACATGGGTGTACTTTCTAAGCAGCAAATCTCAAGTGTTTTCTGTTTTCAAAGAATTCAAGGCAATGGTAGAAAGGGAGAGTGGCTGCAGGTTGAAGTATATAAGGTCAGATAATGGAGGTGAATATACATCGTATCAGTTCAGCAAATATTGTAAAGATTTGGGTATTCAACAACAACTCACTGTTAGCTACACTCCAGAACAGAATGGGGTTTCTGAGAGGAAGAACAGAACAGTGATGGAGATGGCAAGATGTATGTTGGCAGAAAAGAAGATGCCTAAATATTTTTGGGCTGAAGCGGTCAATACCGCAGTCTTATTTGCTAAATAGATTACCAACTAGAGCAGTCCAAGGCATGACGCCATTTGAAGCATGGAAGGGTATAAAGCCATCTGCAAGACACTTGAAGGTATTTGGTTCCGTGTGCTATGCACATGCTCATGATGCTAAGAGAGGCAAATTAGATAGCAAGGCAGAATTGTGTATTGGTCTATAGCACAGTTGCAAAAGGGTATAAAGTGTACAATGTTAGCAGCAAGAAGGTGTTTGTCAGCAGAGATCTTGTAGTGGAGGAGTCTAGCCACTACGACTGGGATCGAGATACTGTTGTGAAGAAACAAGGTGAGAGTACTCCAATTGCAACTCCAAATCTGCAGAAGAGTGATGCTTCCTCTAGTCCTAATGCTGGAATAGAACACAATTCAGATGTTGATATGACTACTGATTCTCCTATTTTGAAGACCAGATCACTAGCAGAAGTCTACGAGCAATGCAATTTTGCTCTAGTTGAACCATCCTCCTATGAAGAAGCAGCATGTCAGGAAGTCTGGATTTCAGCAATGGAGGAGGAACTTGCCATGATCAATAAAAATGATACCTGGGAGTTGATTGATAGGCCAGAGCAGAAGAATGTTATCGGTGTTAAATGGGTCTACAGAACAAAGTTCAATCCAGATGGCTCCATTTTCAAATATAAAGCTAGACTTGTAGTTAAAGGCTATTTTCAGCAGCCTGGAGTGGACTTTGGCGATACGTTTGCTCCTGTTGCAAGGCATGAGATAGTAAGATTCCTTGTGGCGCTTGCCGCACAATGCAAGTGGAAAATCTTCCATTTGGATGTCAAATCTGCATTTCTTAATGGATTGCTTGAAGAAGACATTTATGTTGAACAACCTGAAGGTTTTACAGTTGCAGGTGAAGAAGACAAGGTATATAAGCTTAAAAAAGCTCTCTATGGTCTTAAACAAGCTCCAAGAGCTTGGTATAGCAGGCTGGATACTCATTTGCTGTCTCAAGGCTTCAACAGAAGCCTAAATGAGCCTACTTTGTACTTCAAAAGGCAAGCTGATGGGAAGTTGATTGTGATATCAGTTTATGTTGATGATTTGATGATCACAGGTGAAGACCCTCTTGCGGTTCAAGAAGTCAAAAATGAAATGTTAAAAGTTTTTGAGATGTCTGATCTAGGAGAGATGAAGTTTTTCCTGGGAATGGAGATAGCTCAATCTTCTGAAGGAATTTTCTTGTCCCAAAAGAAGTATGCCTTGAATCTGTTAAAAAGGTTCAAGCTTGAAAAGTGCAAACCTGTTGCAACTCCACTTGTTGTGAATGAAAAGTTGATGAAGGATGATAGCGAAGAGAGGGCAGATCCAAAACTTTATAGAAGTCTTATTGGGAGCCTATTGTATCTTACTGCTTCCAGGCCAGACGTGATGTTCGCTGCTAGTTTGTTGTCCCGATATATGCAAAGTCCAAGCATTAAGCATTTTGGAGCTGCTAAAAGGTGTTGAGATACATTAGAGGGACAATTGAATATGGAATTTGGTATCGAAGCGTGGAGAATGGAGTTCTTATCGGCTATTCAGATAGTGATTGGGGTGGATGTGTGGATGATTACAAAAGCACATCTGGTTACTCTTTTTCTTTTGGTTCAGGCATTTTCTCATGGAGCACAAAGAAGCAAGACATTGTAGCTCAATCTTCAGCGGAAGCCGAGTATGTGGCTGCTGCAACTGCTGCAAATCAAGGAATTTGGCTGAGAAAGATCTTGTTTGAATTGGATCTGTTGCCAAAAGAACCAACGGTGATCTATGTGGACAACAAATCAGCCATTTCAATGGCTGAAAATCCAGTGCAGCATGGAAGAACGAAGCATATCAACATCAGATTTCATGCTTTAAGAGATGCTGAGAAGAATGGTGAAGTTAAGCTTGTGCATTGCAGCAGTGAAGAGCAACAAGCTGATATTTTAACCAAGGCTCTTCCCACCAACAAGTTTGAGTTTCAAAGAATGTTGCAAGGAGTTCCAATGAAAAATCTTAAGGAGGAGTGTTAGCCAATTAAGATTTCTCTAGAAACTCCCACATTTCAGTAGATATTTTTTTGGGTTTTGTATTAGACAAATCTTTTGGGGTAAAATGGGTGGTAGTTAGTGAGCCACATATGTGCTTAGTTTTGTGTGCAATATTTTGCTTATTATGTGAACGTAATTCTACCTCTTTTATATTGTAAAAAGCATCTTAAATGTATAAGAATGAAAATAGAATTCCAAAATTTTTTAGCTCTCTCTTTCTTCATCTTCAAATTGTTGTAGCAATTTACAGCTGCAATTTCGCTACTGTTCCTTTTTTGTAGCTTTGAAGTTCTTCTTTCTTTCCTTTCAACTCTTTTAAACATGTTGTAGGGAACAGTTTGAATTTGAATTTCTTTGGGANTCAAATTGTTGTAGCAATTTACAGCTGCAATTTCGCTACTGTTCCTTTTTTGTAGCTTTGAAGTTCTTCTTTCTTTCCTTTCAACCAGAGTACATAGTTTAATCCTCGGGACTGTAAACGTGTCATCTAATTCTTAAGACACCGCGAATAAGAGTTGTCTCGATACTTGTAGGAGTAGAGAAGGCGAACATGATTCTTATATACATCAGGTGGCATGAACAAATGCCAAATACATAATATCAATACCCTTACTGAATAAGTAGACAATATAGAACCAAAGGGAACTGGTTAAAGCTGGAGCAGGCGTAACACAATTGGAGAAAAAGTTATACAGTCGAAAGTTAGCAACACAAATGAAAGAAATTGGAGATTGAAAGCAAGGTTCAGGCCATACATTACAAAGCAGAATCCACAAGGAGTTTTGGAATTCTTATCCTGTTCCATCACTATCTTTTTAATCTCTCCAGCACGAGAGAACAGCTCATACACTTGCTCCTCTGTTGTGTAGAAGGACATGTTCCCCACATAAACAGTTGTCAACTTTAGCAAAGCATCTTCAAATTCTTCTTGTGTTCCTGGAAACCTTCTATCCCTATATGCTGAAATCTTGGCTAAATCCTAAGAGAGAGAAAAAGAAGCAGATCAAATGTTAAAAGATAAAAGCAAATTAAAACCTAGAGTAAGAAAGGACATAGGACACCTCGGACACCACAATCTCTTTATGTTAAATATTCATGAAATGCCATTGGATATCCAGGAATCTCAATTACTTCACTTCAGTGTTGTTAAGGTTTGCTTAAAGTGCGCTTAAGCCCTGAAGCTCGGTGAAGCCCAGTTTGTGCACTTTGCCTCAGTTAATTGGCGATTTAGAGTAGGTGCCAAGGGGTTAGGCATGTGCACCTTCACCAATGGGCTGTCTTTAAGGGCACAACATCATATATATAGCTTGATATATTTTCCATTCTTTTGTCCAAATAATTATTATTTGTGTTTATAGTTACATGTTTTTTGCAATACATTTCAGCTTTTATTTTTTTCCACACTTCAATTGCACTTAAAGCTCCAGCAGACTTCGAATCTTTTTGTGCTTTTCGCTTTTGACTACTCTGCTGCATTTTCGAAAATTATACTAAAATAAAGAAAGGCATAGATGTATCTTCCTTTCTAAACTACAAACTTTCGAGTTAAATAGGGAAACCGTGAATGACAGACTGAGATGTTAGCTCCTCATAACACCAGGGTTTGTCACGCATTGCTCGTCAAAGTATTTGATTCTCACTGCATCTTTCCTCAACCACCCTCTATAACAGAGAAAGTCTAAGAAGAAAAATTATACAAGGATTAAAGGATTAGTGACTAGTATAGTTATAACATGTCTTTTAAATGCTCCTTCAGAGTGGGAGCAGCCCACAGACCCCACCCCACCCACACCCCACCGACCAGAATTAGCACAATCCACGAGAACACAAAGAAAGATACAACATAAAACATTAAATCAATGGACAAATTGCTTATTGAACCAACATCCCATGTATACAGCACAAGGGAAAAGCCAAGAACACTGAGGCGTTCATATAACCTTGAACAGAGAAGCCATTCCGTTTTGCTCCCAACTATATCTCCCACGTTGGATCTTTTACACCGCCTAATAACTGCAAATTTCTACTTCATGTTAACAACAAGCATTATGATTAGAATAATTCAGAGTTAAACATTAGTTCAAAAGAAGAAAAGGGCTTTTGGAACTGTTTTGGGCCTATAAACCATCAAGAGCTAAACTATAGGGCAGCACCATCATGATTCACGTTAGAAGAAGCGGACAACAAAAGCTTTGTGTTCACTGCATTTTTGTCTTAATTTCTACAGTATGACCAAAGCTGGAGGCATTAGAATGGCGAATGAGACTTTTGCTCTGCTTCAACGTAATTGTTCACCTTTATCCTTGTTACATGTTACCTTGGAATCGGATTTAAGTTGTTTGGTGCATAAAAAACCAGTTCAAAGACTAAAGAAATATCTTACTGGATCTTTATAATATCTCGTCGGATACAGGAATATGAAAATGCAATAGCTTGAGACTCTGAATGCAGGAGCATACTATAGAAGAAAAGTAAAGTGTACAACTGAATGGTGCCATAAAATGGTTAGACAATGCATTAGGAAAGCATAGCTAATCATCACTGTAAAATGGAGGACTTGTGTCATTAAATACCCTTTCAGTGTCCAACACAGATACCTAGTTTTTTTAACTCTTTCATTACACTTCATCCAAATCACATACTTTATCTATTTTCTCCTCCACTTTAAACCGCTAAGATTTCCACATCCCTTTTCTGAATTTAAATGTTTCAGGTTGTATGTTATTCTCTTTCAGGCACCTATTTTAGGTCCCTATAGAAAAGAAACATGACATGAATCTGCTTTCAAATTTAATGCTAGAAGTTGGAGAAAATGGTTTAATAAGTAAGGATGTAGAGATGGGGATTGGGGGTGGGAAAGATAGAGAGAGTCCATCTAATATAAGCTACTTTGGAGGAAATATTGACTTTATAAAATTGTTGCTGAGAAGAAGCTGAAATAGCATATACAGCAACCAGCGAAACAACTTATGGTAAAATAGAGTGCACAAATGAAGTGTACCAGAAAAAAACATTCCATAAGTTAGCCATTTAGCCAACAAGACATACAGAAATGACTAATTGTCGAATTTGATGTTGTTAACGGAGAGTGAACTTGAGGAAATATTACTTTCAGATGCCAAAAAATGCATAGCTCAACATCAATGGCCTGTGCATTCTGTTTTCACTTCTTAAGACTCATCATCAAGCCTCCTACACTCATTGCTACAAATGAAAGTTTTTGTTAAGGTACTAAATTAATCCGACTTCTCTTATTTGCTCTTGTTGTCTTACTTTTAGCAGCTTGATATTACAGATCATACGAAGAGTAATCCTATACCAACAACCCAAAAACAGTGAAACAACAAAATTCTTTAAACAGCAGAACACAAAACAGAACATCAAGAGAAAATGTCAAACAGATCAAAGAAATTGGACATCGGCAAATAAGCAAAAGCAAAATAAAAAAGAGCATCTTTCATAATTGAACTTTTCATTATAAACAATAAGAATGAACTCTTAAGAGTTACAGAGACATCGAGAAAATGACAACATCATCTACATTGCACATAATCGATGATGAAAAATGTGTTGGTTGTTAATTAACACCAACATAATCTAAATATCCAATAAGTCAATGTCAGAATCATGCTCCTAAATCCCTAATATTTCACAGATATCCTAACAAAAAGTACCCAAAATCAAAAAAAAAAAAGTCATCTTGGATTTCAAAGAAACTCAAGAATAAAAAATACCCTTTTCAGAAATCTACCAAACTTCAATTTTCCAGAATCAGTAAAGCAAGTCATTCTGCACTGAACCATGATCCCCAAAATCCAATATAGATTCCCAATCAACTTCCTCCTCATCACCTTCCTGATAACAGCATTCTTGATTTTCCACGTTCAGCACTCCAAAGAATCCATCAGAATCAGTCTGAACCAACATCAAAGGACTGTTCTTAGACAAAATCACAGTACTCTGTTCTGAGGGTCCTGAGGTTTGGCGATGAACCCCTTCTTGCAAGACACGATCGATGAACCTCTTATACTCTACAACAGTAGCAGCATTGTTTCCTCTGATTTCTGATCTGGGGTTCTTCTTAATCGCACAGATTACAAACTGTTTAGCTTCGTCAGATTTCAACTCCTGAAGAAGATAGTCAGCCAAGAAATACTCCATCATCAACCAGCGGCCATTCAAAGAGGAGTCTTTCTTGTGCTTGTAAGTCAAGCTTCTTTTATACCCAATAATCAGACTATCATCTTCATCAAGAATTTGCTTGCCTTTATTCTGCTGTGTCCAAGTCCCATTACCAGTAGTTCTGTTGAATCGGGCATCAGTGGGCTTCTTCTTCTTCAATTGAGTGAGAAAGTAATGGGTTTTCTTGGAATTCATGTTTCCAATTAATTGCCATGGCTCTTTGCTGTAAACATCTGCATAGACAATCAATTCTTCAGTTGGTAAGCATTTTCCAGCCACAAATTTCAACAATTGCATTATCAGATCAGTGTCAGAGGGACGAAATTGAGGATTCTTCTCCATGGGTTTGGTTCTTTCTTGAGGCATTTGAAGAACAACGACAGAGAATGCTTTCTTGAATCGTGAATGACAGATTTTGAACTAGGAAGAACACAAGAATAAGAAAGACCGTATTCACGAGGCCACGGTTGGTTTATGAATTCCTTGAATGGACGCACTTTTGGAAAGCAAGTATGACACGCCAAAAACAGCTGTGACTAATAACGTTTTTTTTTGTTGCAGGGAAAGCGCCACCCTTGAATGGACAAATCTAGTTTTGGTTGGATTCTATATTTATATAAATTTTTTATTAAATATATACAAATATTTAATTATGAATTCGATAACTAAAACAAACTATGACTAATTTATCGAGGTTCATTCGATTTAGAATTGTTTGGCGTTACGGCTCATTTTATTATTCTGTTTGATTTTTTTTTCATCCAGCTTTGTTAATCATTCAAAAGAACTTGTGAAAAGTTTATAGTTGAGTCATACTTCTATATGAAAGCTTAGTATAAACAAAAAAATACATTATGATGGTTTGATTTGGTTTATTATTCAGTAATCAGGTACAATTGATTAGTTTCTTTTTGCGATAAAAAAATGATTCAAATTAAATCACGAACACCCCAATATAAGTTTGGTACTAAGAGAGTATAACTTAAGTAATAGTATGTGTTAAATTACTTTTTTAATACATGTTAATTATCATTTAGAGTATTTGCTTGGCCCATTAAAAATTAGTAAGAGGTTACTTTGATTTTGTACCATTATCTCATTAACATTGTGTTCGATGTAATCCTTTTAAAAATACGCAGGTAACGTATAGTTCTGGTGGTAGGTAACTGCATGTATAGATGAGTTATAGAATAAGAGAGTTCCATCCAATTAATTCATTTTCTTTTGTAATTGGAATTAACAAGGATTGAACATGTTTTTGACTTTAAAAAAATTCCAAAAAAAAAAAATGTGACGGAAAGAAACATGATAGCTATTTTTACCCTCTATAATTGAAAAGGTTAAAGTTGTTCGATCCCTGAATAAACAAATGCATGTGCTTTCTAGTGTATTAAGCTATGCTATTAGTACTTAACATTAAAAATTGCAAAAAAATGCAGATGCATCAACTAACTAATTCATCCCCCANTTGCTTCGAGGAGGTGGAAACCAAATCGAGGGTATTGTGAACCTTGCCCCTGTGGCCCAAAATCTGAAAATTCCTGAGCCAAAGCCATACAGTGGAGCTCGGAATGCCAAAGAAGTGAAAAACTTCATCTTTGATATCAAACAATACTTCGATGCCGTGGGGGGCCGAGAAGAAGCTAAGAAGGTAGCAACTGCTACCATGTATCTTCAGGGTGATGCCAAAATCTGGTGGCGGGTGAAATACGAAGCCATCAAGGCTAGTGAAGATGCCCTCGAGACATGGGCAGAACTGAAGGCAGCCATACGCCTACAGTTCTTCCCCGAAAATATTGAGTATAATGCTAGGAGAAAGCTACGGGAGCTCCGCCAGACCAAATCAGTGCGGGATTACGTGCGGGAATTCTCTGCGCTCATGCTGAACATCCGCGACATGGGGGACAAAGAAAAACTCTTCACCTTCCTGGAAGGGTTGAAACCTTATGCCTGCATGGAGTTGCAAAGACAAAGGGTAGACACGTTACCTAAGGCGATCCAAGCAGCAGAGTGCCTTGGGGATTATCAAGTGGAAGCTCGGAATGACAGGCCTTAACAACCTGTCCGAGGAGGATACCAAGGAGGCCAGCCAAACACTGGTGGCCCTAGTAGAAGTGGAGGAGATCGGAGTACAATAAAATCTAAGGCTCCCTCCTCAGGCAGTACTAGCGCTGCATTTAACAACAATGATCGGGGGAGGAAACCCCCCTCAGGATGCCGTCATTACGGCGGATCACATTGGAATAATGAATGCCCACATGCACAGATGAACGCCCATCAAGATTTTGAGGATGGGATGGATGACAATGCCGATGATGCGGACCAGACCGAACCAGTAGGTGCATTCAATGCAATTGTTGGCTCTATTTCTGAACCCCTAGCGGGAACCAGTACTAGTATCTGTATGAAGAAGGACCCTGTCCAATTGCCAAGAAAGGGAAAAAGAAGGCAAACGAGAGGACTCCTCCTCATCAAGAGAGGACCTTAATGTTCGTCGACATAAAGGTAAATGGCAAGCCCATTCGGGTGATGATAGACACGGGTGCTACCCACAACTACTTAGCCTCGACTCAGGTGGAGCGCCTTGGCCTAGTTGTAGGAAAGGGCAAAGGTCGTGTCAAGGCTATCAATTCACCACCTCAGCCAGTGGGTGGAATAGCCAAAGAAGTACCAGTGGAACTTGGCCCTTATGAAGGAAAGTTCAACCTGTGCGTGGTGATCATAGATGACTTCGAGTTGATAGTGGGGTTGGAATTCCTGAGACAGACCAACATCATGCCCGCACCGTATGCAGACTTGCTACTGATGATGGGAGAAAATAGGGCTAAGCCCTGCATTATTCCGTGCATTCCCATGAAGATGGCCGCCGAGAACATCTTGGCCTTGCAGTTGAAGAAGGAGGTAAAAAGACATGAACCCACGTTCCTGGCTACCCTCTGTATGGAAGATATAGAACGCTCCTCGGGTCCCATTCCTGCACCCGTGAAGGAGTTGCTTCTGGAATTTGAAGACATCATGCCACAAGACATGCCAAAGCATCTTCCGCCTAGGCGAACTGTGGACCATGAGATTGAGTTGGTGTCAGGTGCGAAGACACCTGCTCAGGCACCGTACAGAATGTCAAAACCCGAACTCGCCGAGCTTCGGAGATAATTGACGGAAATGCTAGACACAGGGATCATCGTGCCCTCCAAGTCCCCATACGGGTCCCCTGTGCTATTCCAAAAGAAACATGATGGTAGTTTACGACTCTGCATAGATTACCTGGCTCTAAACATAATCACCGTGAAAAACAAGTACCCTATTCCGCTAATGGCAAACTTGTTTGATAGACTTGGTGGTGCGACTGTGTTCACCAAAATAGACCTGAGGATAGGTTATTGGCAATTTCGGATTGCAGAGGGTGATGAGCACAAGATGACCTGTGTGACAAGATATGGGTCGTATGACGTCCTGGTTATGCCCTTTGGCTTGACTAACGCGCCAGCCACATTTTGCACCTTGATTAACCAAGTCTTCCGAGAATACATTGATGAATTCGTCGTGGTTTATTTGGATGATATTGTGGTATATAGCAAGACACTGGATGAACACCTGGAGCCCTTGCGGAAGGACCTAGCCCGATTGCAGGAGCATGAATTATATGTGAAGCTATCCAAGTGCTCCTTTGCTCAGAAACAAATTCACTTCCTCGGACATGTCATCGAGGAAGGGCGGATCAAGATGGACCAACAGAAGATTCGGGCCATCACAGAATGGCCGCCTCCTAAGGATATCCATGCCTTGAGGTCGTTCCTTGGCCAATGAAACTTCTATCGGCATTTTGTGAAACGTTACTCCCTCATTGCAGTGCCGCTGACAGAACTTCTCAAGAAGGTCACACCTTGGGATTGGGGCCCCAAGCGAGCAGAGGCCTTCAACGCATTGAAAATGGCTATGTCTAGTAGCCCAGTCTTGGCCCTCCCTGACTTGGCCAAGCCATTCGAAGTACAAAAGGATGCCTCCGACTATGCACTTGGTGGAGTATTGCTACAAGAAGGACATCCCGTAGAGTACGAGAGCTGAAAACTGAAGGATGCAGAGCGGTGCTATGCCGCCCACGAGAAAGAATTATTGGCTGTCGTTCATTGCTTACGTCTTTGGAGGCATTATCTACCGGGAGCCCCATTCGTGGTCAACATAGAAAACACAGCCGTTAGCCATTTCATGACCCAGCCAAAGCTAAATGGTCGACAAGCTAGGTGGCAGGAACTCCTAGCGGAATTTCACTTCAACTTGGAGTACCGAAGTGGGAAGACCAATCATGTTGCTGATGCGCTCAGTCGGAGAGCTGATCTAGCATCGGTGTATGTACTCGCCTCCCTATGGGGAAGCGAAGTAACCACCACCATAAAAGACCAGATACAGGATCTACTCATCAAGGATCCTGCTGCACAATATTTGGTTGATTNACAGACAGGGCTCTTGGAACCACTAGTTGTCCCAAAAAGACCTTGGGAAAGCGTTTCCCTGGACTTCATCACCGGATTGCCCAAGGTCGGAGATCTCACAACTATCTTGGTTATGGTGGATCGGTTTTCCAAGTATGCTACCTTTATAGCAGCCCCACAATATATATCAGCAGAAGATACAGCTCGACTCTTCTTCTCTCATATCGTCAAATATTGGGGCCTACCTAAAGACATTGTTAGTGATCGTGACTCACGCTTCACTAGAAACTTTTGGACCCAACTCTTTAAGTGTCTCAGGTCAAAATTGAGTCATAGCTGAAGTTTTCATATGCAATCTGATGGCCAGACGAAGCGATTCAATGGCATGCTAGGGGAATATCTCCGGCATTTTGTGACCGGATCGCAGAAGAACTAGGTGAAGCTTCTGGATGTTGCTGAACTGTGTTTCAATTCACAAAAGAGCTCAAGTAATAACAAAAGTGCTTTTGAAATTGTTACCGGACAGCAACCGCTACTCCCACACACTGTGAACGCACCAAACATGTCAAAATCCCCTCGGGCTGCTAGCTTCTCAAAACAATAGAAGCAAAATTTGTAGATAGTGCAGAGCTATCTTGTCAAAGCCCAAAAACGGATGAAGAGGCATGCTGATCATAATCGCTGCTTTGTTAAATACCAAGTGGGAGACAAAGTGATGGTCAAAATCCCAAAGCGGTACTTGTTTGCAGGGTTTATGACCCTCGCCTATTGCAAAAATATATTGGATCCGCACGGCCAACTCACGTGCAATAATAATATCTGAATCCGCACGGCCAACTCACGTGCTGCACGGCCAACTCACGTGCAATAATAATATAAGGAATCGAATGGCCAACTCACGTGCAATAATAATATCTGGATCCGCACGGCCAACTCACGTGCAATAATAATATAAGGAATCGAATGGCCAACTCACGTGCAATAATAATATCTGGATCCGCACGGCCAACTCACGTGCAATAATAATATAAGGAATCGCACGGCCAACTCACATGCAATAATAATATCTGGATCCGCACGGCCAACTCACGTGCTATAATAATATAAGGATCTGCATGGCCAACTCATGTGCTGCACGGCCAACTCACGTGCAATAATAATATCTGGATCAGCACGGCCAACTCACGTGCTATAATAATATCTGGATCCGCACGGCCAACTCACGTGCAATAGTATAATATATAGATCTGCACGGTCAACTCACGTGCAATAATATAATATATATAAAGACAACATGGCCTGCTGCGGCGTGCAGCCCGATCCCAAAAATATCCTCACAATCAGGCCCTCGGCCTCACTCAGTCATAAACCTCTCAAGCCACTCGGACATTTCAGTAAAATAGGGCATTCGGCCCAAAACATTTATATGCATCAAAATTAGAGTCACAAAAACTGAGTTATGCAGTAAACAAGTATAAACATGACTGAGTATAGATTTTCAATCAAAAAGAATGAGAGGATAGGAAGAAAAAAGCCCCTAAGGGTCCAAACAACACTGGCGCAAGGCCCAAATATGGCATTCAGCCCAATTTACAGAAATTCTTTCTAAAACATATAAGTATCATATAATTTCCATAAAATATTCAACTTTATAGTTGCTACGGGAAGGACCAAGTCACAATCCCCTCGGTGTACGCCCACACGCCCGTCGCCTAGCATGTGCGTCACCTCCAAACATAATCACATGATACCAAAATCCGGGGTTTCATACCCTCAGGACCAGATTTAAAACTGTTACTTACCTCAACCCGTAAAATTCTTATTTCGAAATTTCCTTTCCTCGTGAATTGGTCTCCAACGCCTCGAATCTGGTCATAAATAATTCGATTCAATCAATACCAATTATTGTAATTAATTCCATAAGGAAATACTAATTTTTTAAATAAAATCCGAAATTAACTCAAAAATTGCCCGTGGATCCCACATCTTGGAACCCGACAAAAGTTACAAAATATGAACGCCCATCCAACCATGAGTCCAACCATATAAATTTTACCAAATTCCGACATCAACTCGACCGTCAAACCTTCAATTAAAGTCTTTGAAGATTTCTACCATTTTCAACCCAATCTATACCCATTTGAACTCAACAATCTTTCCATAATCCTTATTGATATGTATAAATGATACTATTACACCCAAGAATCATACTCTTAATCACCCATCTTTACCCAAACTCGAAATTGAAGACTAGGGGTTAGGACCTTATCTCTTGGGTGAAGATCTTGTGATATTTCCTTATTGGATTTCAAAGCTTGAACAAGATCTTGATGAACAAAATTCTTGAGCTTCTTCCTCTCTCTAGAACACTCTCCCTTCTCTCTAAAATATCAGATTTTTTGCTCCAAAATGAGCTTCAAGGCTTATTTATCGAAGTTGGGTCAGGTTATAACAATAGAAGAATGGATACTCCAAATATTCCGGACCAGGCTACAGATCTGGCCTCGCCAGGATAAAGCCTGGTCTTAGTGCGCGATAGGCCTAGCCTCGCCAGGCTAAAGCCTGGTTAAGCCTGGCTTTTGGCTGGCCTCGCCAGGCTAAAGCCTGGTATTACACCTGGCCTCGCCAGGCTAAAGCCTGGTCTTACACCTGGCCTTGCGAGCTCTGTAGTGAGCTACAGGACAGCCTTTGGGTATTTGGTCATAACTTCTTATAAGAAAGTCCGAATGATGAACGGATTGAAGCGTTGGAAAGTAGACTTGAAGATCTTTCATTTGATAGGAGATTATCACATAAATCCATATATATATATATATATATGTAGATATATTTGTTCAAATTTGGGTCTTGTGTACACTTGAAACTTTAGTCTTATAAAATTTTCAACTTCTACATTCGATGCCGAAACCTATCGAATCAAGTCCGATTGACCTCAAATTTTGCACACAAGTCATAAATGACATAACGGACGTATTCCAATTTACGGAATTGAATTCCGACCCCGATATCAAAAAGTCAATCCCCCGGTCAAACTTTCCAAAAATTCAACTTTCGGCATTTCAAGCCAAATTCCACTACGTACCTCCAAATATTTTTCCGGACACGCTCCTAAGTCGAAAGTCACCATACGGAGCTATTGGAATTATCAAAACTCCATTCCAATGTCGTTTACTCATAAGTCGACATCCGGTCAACTATTTCAACTTAAGCTTCCAAAATGAAATTCATTCTTCCAAGCTAACTCCGAAGTACCTTAAAACCAAACCGATAATTTACACAAGTCATAATACCTCGTAGGAAGCTATTCAATACTTCAAATAGTTGAAAGGAGCGTAAATGCTTAAAACGGCTGGTCGGGTTGTTACAATCTCCCCCACTTAAACATACGTTCGTCCTCGAACGTGCCAAGAGTTGTTTCCAAGCCACCACATCACTATTCCATCTTACCACACACGTACCCGGGGGTGATCTCACGTCACCCTATTCTATATAGGCCTGACCACACAACATAACTGAAAATCATTAATTTACCCTTAGCCCAAAAACCATGGAGCCAAATTTATAACATCCAGAATTCTTTTCAATACCCGAATCTCACATCTACACATTGTATAAGTATGAACAAGTTGTATCCAGCCATAACCATAGTCCCAGATAAATCACTTTCTATGCCGACCTTCAATATGTTCCTCCCAATATACCGGAATCTAACCTGATAGGTATCCATTCTTGGTTTAATGACCTTATATTATTAAACACAACTATCCGATTGACATGCCACACCAATACAACTCAATCCACAACTGCGCAACTTTGTACCCAAAAATGGAAAATGTCTCAAAGTAGAGAACCGTATTGTAAGTTCAACAAGAACCACCACCACTATAATGCTATAATCTCATTATATATTGTACAATCGATACACACAAGTTTAATAACAGTAACCAGCTCTTAGAGCTCATATTAACATCACTCGCACGGAAAACTCATGTGCTATCGTATCAATAACGTAATCCGCCAGGCATGGTCACATGCCTCCAGTCCAAGCATATCATAGAGGAGAAATCAAATAAGGACACATGTATGTGATACATGAAATAAGATTCACATGCTCCTGGACTGGTATAAATAACGCGCCATAGCGTAAGCATGTGCAAAGTGTGGTGTTACACTTCAAATTGGCATGTTAACGCAAAAATAGTAACTACCCATTTATTCAGGGGAATTAACCTCTTTTAAACCTCAGATGTAACCCAGATAGTTCTCAACAAAGGTACAAACACGAGAAACGTTATAACTTTACGCTCAATAGTCAACTCTAGGCATATCATAGCCTAAGCATTCTTTCGAGTATGAGTACTTGCCCTGATGCCCGCACATTGGCTCAAACCCCGCATATATGCACACTTATAGCGTGTAGCTATCACAATTAATTAACGCAACTAGTGCCTCCACTGAGTAAAAATTAAAATACTCACCTCAAACAGGCCGCAACCTGAAATAATATACTTCTG